GGGGGGGGTGATTTGTGTGGTACCCAATTTTCGCTCTAGAAGAACCTGGTTCTTCTAGGTGTACTTACTACTACTGTTTGCGGAATTAAGAGTACATAAAATAAAGAACACAGAGATTTTTACGTGGAAAACACCTAGCTCAAAAGGTGAAAAAACCACGACCTACTACTTAGTAGGATTTTCCCAAACTTCCACTAAAATCACTGAGCCAAAACAGCATTTACAAAATAGCATTTACAAACTCTTGTAAACCTAAGGATTAAACTCTAATCCCAGTGTGGCACACAGCCTCAACTGTTGCGACACCTTCAAGTTAGCCTATAACTTGAATACTCAAAGTACCTATTACAATTGCTTCTACAAAAGCTGGAAAGGTACAACTTTAAACCACCTACTATAATTGAACTAGAATAAGAATAAACCCAGTGGAATTGGTTCTTCTATCTTGTCCATGTAGCTTCAGGAATGCACACTTGAGTCTCACATAAATTGCTTGCAAAATTGCCTCGCTCTTTTTCTCTTAATTTAGTTTCACTTCTGCGTTTGTGCAATACCTGTAAAAGAGAACAATCACTGTTATTTAATGAGTTAGTAATCAGAGTTTGATTGAGACTCAATTGCTGATCTTCCATCGAAGTTGAGTCCTTGAACAATACAAACTCCAACCCTATCCTTTATCCGGATTGTGTCCTCTTCCCATGAGGATACTTTCTTTCCTCATCCAATATGCAACCTTTTCGATCGGTTCAGGAGATATTGTTGCATTATCCTTGAGACTTATCTCCTTCACGTGTATCTCACATGTATAGGTTGATAAACATTGTGTCTCACATGATGGACCTGGTCCATGATTGAGTTTATTTGTCATTCTTCAAAACTTCACCTGAACTTGGGCCAACAAATTCCCCCTTTTTGATGATAACAAACTCTGTGCTTTTACTGATCAGAGAACCTGTGGAACTCAGCTTAATCATCAACACTTTAACTTAGAAATTTTAACTTATCATCAAGGACCAGGTTTAATCAGGTTATAAATATCACATTATTCAGAATAACAAGTAAAGCACAATATCTCTTCCCCCTTTTGGCATCATCAAAAAGTTGCAAATATTGTGAATCCCAGATTTTAATAATTACTCATAGCCACTGGGGCAACTGCAAGTGAAAACATGGTTCAATTAATCAACAACCAACAAACAAAATTAACTATTAAGATCAGAATCTTCATAGAACAAGAGAAAAAGCAAATTGTCATTGATTAGGATATGTTTCCGCAAACAGACCACAAAGAGAGAAAAACTTCCAAACATGAGCAACAAAAACAGAAAAATTCCCGAATCTGGGTCACTGGGGGTTCTAGATAGGTTCAAAAATAAGAACTGGAAGACCTTAGGCTTGGAGGAACTAGAGGGATGGGTTTGGAGAAGGTCGAGCATATTCTTAAGCATTCCTTCACTTTTCTCCTTTTCTTTTGCTAGCTCAGCTCGAAGGCCATCTCTTTCAGCTTCCAAATCAGCAACACGAGCTTGAAGCCTAGCAATTTCAGCATCCTTAGTTCCACACTCTTGAACCAAAGCCCTAACCTTGCTATTCACTGGTGTCTTCAGAGATGAACCAGGTTCAACAGGGGTGGCATTGATAGGATAGTCACAAGCCAATAAGGTCCTAACACCAAAATGCTCCTTGCTTGATGCCATCTCCCATTTCTTCAAAGGCACCCTTAGCCTGTCCAGCACAGTTGTGGGTATGAACCCATATGGAGTTGCATGTGCCTTGGATCCATTAATGACCCTGTCCAGTAGTTTGACAATAAAAGCAGGCCAATTTATCTGCTTTCCACTCTCAAGGCACTCCATAAGAACCAGGTCCATATAGTTGGCAGTATGCCTCCTCTCCTGTCTGGGCAGCAGGCACTTGTTCACAAATTCAAATAAGACCTTGTGCTCAGGTCTCATCTCACTCTTCTGAACAAATCTGGCTTCAGGTACATCTTCAGCATTTGCAGCTTCACAAAAATTCCTAGTGATTTGGAGAGCAATGGGGAGAGATTCCAGACATGACCACCTTTGCCTTTTGTAGTCATCATACCCTTCACTTGGTATGTCCAGGATCTCACCCAGTTTGATTATATCAAACTCCACTTTTACACCCTTCACCAGGCTGGAGACTACTCCATTTTTCACAGTGGCATTGGCCATAAACTCTATCAACTCATTTCTAGCCAGCCTTCCATCCATATCAAGGACCATGTCCTTCCACCCTTGTGCAGTAAGAGCATCCATCAATCTTCTCATACCTGGCTCATCCAGGTCTTTCAACAACCTTCCTTTCAAAATTTTCCTTCTGCCAAAGATGACAAACCTGTCTTGATCTTTCTCAGATTCCTCCTCTTCTTCACCACCACTCCACTCTACATCTTCTTAAATAATTTTCTTTTGTTTACCCTTCACAACAGACCTAGTTCTTTTGGCTAAAGAAGATTCAGCAGGTACAGGTATAGAGGAAGACTTCTTGGAAGAAGTCTTGGAACTTTTTGGTTTGGGTGTGGGAACCTCTTCAGTTGTTCCTCTTTCCTGATGGACCAGGTCCATCTCCTCTTTTTCTTCTTCTGCAATCTCAACACTCTCCACAACCTTAGCCTTTCCTTTTTCCCTCTTTTTCTTCCTGCTCTCTTCCAGAGCTTTCTGCAATTCTGCTTCACTTTGCTTCACCTTGCTTCTAGTAGCTCTTCCCTTTGATACTGAAGGGACAGTAGGCATTGGAGATGACACTTTACTTTTCTTTGTNAACAATGCTTACCCAAGAAGTTTTGATGAAAGGGAGATTCAATGGACGCCTAAGTGCTTGGAGAAGAAAGGAGTTCGTGTATTTTTATTAAAATCCCGAGCTACTGTTATGTTTTTAACTTAAGAATTCGCTGGGCAAAATTGCCCTTCGCGTTCGCGGGAAAGGGGCCGCGTTCGCGAAGGGTAAACTGGACACTTCATCGCGAACGCGTGAAATAGAATGCGAACGCGTAGAAGAAAATGTTGGGGGTCCAGGGACTGTTATACGCGAACGCGTGAGGGGCCACGCGAACGCGTTGAGGAAGCTGGCAAAGCTACGCGTTCGCGATAATGATGATGCGAACCCGAAGGAGGGGGAATTAGAACTATGCGATCGCGTGAAGTAGGACGCGAACGCGTAAGAGGGGAATACCAAGGCACTGCGAACGCGAGCCTGAGGCCGCGTTCGCGAAGAACAAAATGCCTGTGTAAAAATGCAGCAAAAATCTGATCCTTTCCTAAGTGTAAAAACACCCCGAACCACCTCCAATTCACTCCCGAGCCCTCGGGGCTCCTAACCAATCACACACACTAACTCAATAACATCCTACGAACTTACTCAAGCGATCAAATCGCCAAAATAACATCAAAAATCATTGAATCAAGCCTCAAGATCATCATTTTCATTTCAAACTTCATAACTTCAAATTTTAGATATTTATGTCCGAAACACGTCAAATGACATCCTATTTCGACCAAACTTTACAGAGAGTGCTTAACACATATTTAAGACTTGTACCGGGCGTCGGAACCAAAATACGAGCCCGATACCATAGTCTTTAATCAATTTTCATTTCCATTTTCCTTAATGATTTCAGAAAAATAATTTCACAGAAAAATTCATTTCTCGGGCTCTCAACCTCGAAATTCGACTCCGGGCATATGCCCGAGTTTCATATTTTTCTACGGACCCTCCGGGACCGCCAATCACGGGTCCGGGTCCGTTTACCAAAAATGTTGACCAAAGTCAACTTTAATCATTTTAAAGCCACATTTTGAAATTTTTCACAGAATTTAACATATAAGCTTTCCGACTACGCGCCCGGACTGCACACGCAAATCGAGGCAAGCAAAAATGAGGTTTTCAAGGCCTTGGAAGTACGGAAAAAGAGAGAAATCCGGTGATGACCCTTTGGGTCGTCACATTCATTTAGCTACAATATTTTATTTCAAATAATTTATTGTGGCTAAAAGGTAACTATTGCTACAATAACTATTGATGTGTGGCAAAAACTTATGATTAGCTACAAAATTTTATTTGTAGCAATAAATTTGTAGCTATTTAGGTAGTTATTGCCACGATTGTTAGCAATTATAGCTAATATGAGGAATTAGCTTTACCAACTTAATTTTCGTAGCAAAGAAATTTTATAATTTTATAAATAGCCATAGAATTCTAATTTTTGTGGCTATTATTAGTAATTAGCTATAATTTTTAAATTCGTAGCTAAAATTTTGTAGCTATAGATGCATAATGTTGTAGTGATAGGATGTAAGAAGGGCATTTTAGGCAATGCACACTCAGACATGTGACTTTCACGTGAGTGATTAGTTAAGCTGTTAGAAGATAATTAAATACTGTATTTGGAATGTACAATGATAACAAAAAATCAGAAATCAATTTTTTCTTTTCTTCCTCCTTCTTCATTCTCTGAATTCTCTAGAAACTATGATTTAGTTATTCATGCAAGCCTAGATTCTATCAACTTTAATTAATACGTGTTCCATTGTTCTTGCAATTTGACTCCTTGGATTAAATTTTCTACGAGTTTTTGTAATTAAATAGTTAGTAACTTAATATCATAGAAGCACCATAGCGAATGGTTATCAATAATACAAGTGTATACGACTATACGTTGTTACCGGTGGCAGAACCATTTTAACCTAAGGGTGGTGAACTAAATCTTCGTCGCCAGCAAATTATATTGTGCCACGTGTAGGTGAAATTTTATATCTTGATTGTTGAACCTTTTCATAGAACAAAAAGATGATATAATGATAAAAGGATTCCAAAAGTACTCTAGACCATGGGTTTAATTCATAACCGTAACATTTTAGTATTTTTTTAATTCCCTTTTTTAAAATTCTATCTCCGCTTCTAGTAGTCATCATCGAGAATGAATTGTAATTTGTATACTAAGAAAATTAGGACATTTTCTAGAAATGGAAATAACGTCAGAAAATATGCATGTATCATAAATACATAAATTTCTACATTAGTGGTTCAATATCCCCATCCTAACCTCCACCATCTTTTCCACATCATAACTATTATTAGTCCAACTTCTTTGATTAGGTCTTTAATCAAGTCTCTCACTCTAGAGAGATCTCCCATCTTCACCAGAAATTAAAATCCAACTAATTAAGCTGGTTTAATTTTGCATTTATTTTGACATTAATGAACCAACGACCCCAGCAATAAGAGTAGTAGGATCTCCAAGAACTGCAGATATAATAAACTGCAGAGCTAAACCAGCCATCTCACAACATTTCTGAACTTTGCCTTTGCTTTTTCGATGATGAGTTTGAAGTGTTCCTTTGAGACTTGGGATCCTATTCTCCAGTTTTCTACAATTATTACTACTATTATTATAAGTATTATTATTATTGGCACGACCAAAGTAGATCTCATGCCAACTATCCACAAGCATCTCTTTGACACATGCTACGTGCAAATTGTATTTCTTGCATGTTGATCTATAACTCCAACTTCTTCCTTTCCTCCCGCATCTGTGGCATGATGCACTTACCTGCAGAGACAAATTCAAGATTTAAGTTAATGAATTCAGAATGAGTATAACCAGTTTACAGTTGAGTGTTAAGTTCAGTTGGATTCGTAAAACTCGTTGTAGATCCGCCTCTATGTACTTAACTATTCATTCTAAACATAATTAGTTAAGTTATATTTCCTTAATTTGACAATATGACTTTAAAACTAGGACAGAGCAAGGTAATTGAAAAACTAGATTTCTAATAGTTGAATGTAGGAATTAATTCACTAAGTAAAAAAAAGAAGAAGATGCAATTTGATTTCAATTTTTATCCTCGTATTTTCCAACTTTGCCCTCTGAACCTTCAATTTGGTTAGAGTTAACTATTTTAATTTTAGTTTATTCAACAATGAAACTATTCTATTGAGACGTCTATGTTAGAGTACTTCTCTATTAACCAAAAGCTAAGTAGGCTAAGATGCCAAAGTGACTTTCGCAGAGCCAATTTTCCCACTTAAAATATTTACGGAAGTACAATAACAACAAACCTAATGTAATCCTACATGGTAGGATGTGGGGAAGGTATAATGTACGCACACCTTACTCCTACCTTGTGGAGATAGAGAGGCTATTTACGATAGACCCCCGGCTCAAAGAATTAAAAGGGTAATCCGGTGCACTAAGTTCCCGCTATGCGTGGGCTCCAGAGAAGGACCGGACCCAAAATATGATCTTCTCCCCGAACCCAAAATATGATCTTTGTGTATTAGTTCGATCATCTTTGAAAATTAATTAAATTGATTCTGGATACGAGAAAAGTGTGTAGAAATGACAACAGGTAGCCATTTTACTGGGCTGCTATTTAAGAATTAGCCAGTGCGTCCCGAATTTCAGTTTTTCAAGTCAAATTTTCTGCACAAAAATATCCTGAAGTTACAAATTTTAGTTTAAAATTTCAGGACATAATAAGAGCCCGTTTGGACATACAACTTTTTTTTCCTTTTTTCCCAAAAAAATTCACTTTTTTTTCGAAATCAGTGTTTGTTCATAAAATTTCAAATTTTCACTTGAAGATGCATTTTGGAAATTTTCGAAAATTTAAAAAACTCCAAATAACTGTTTTTCAAATTTTTCACTCAAATCACTCACAAAACTTTAAAAACAACCCAAACAGAAATTTATGTCCAAACACAACTCTAAATTTCAAATACCATTTTCACTTAGAAAAATTTTTTCACCATTTTTTGGAATTTTATAATTCTTATGTCCAAACGCCTACTAAGTGATGACTAATCTCTAAATAGCATTCCCGAAAAGTGTCAAATAAATTGGGCCGGAAAATCTATCATGAAAAACTATTAATATGTCGACTAACAGCACCATACCTTTCTATACAAGTAAAGCTTTACTTCTCCATCATCAAGAACCATAGGAAGCTTTGCACAACATGGATGAAGATCAAATCCACAAGAATTACAATGGTATAAAAATCCAGTAATATCCTTCTCACAAGCGTTGCAGTAGCGCGGCACGCTTCCCGGAGGACGAGAGAGGAACTGAAAAGAGCATTTTTTGTAAAAAGGATGAGTAATTGAAGCAGAAGGAATTGCACAATGCATATGGAGATCATAGTCACAAGTTGTGCATTTGTAACGAGACCCTATGCCTACTTCCTTACAACCATCACATTTGAATGGAAATTCTGAGTATTCAAATCTTAGCTTGTGTTGAGGATGGCTAAAATGATATATCTCATTGTATTTCATTTTTTTTAATAAAGTTTTTGGATATATGGCAGCACAAGAAAAGAATTCAAGTGATAAATATATAAAGATGATTCTTGGACTGTTGTTATAACTTTATGTATTTGGATTTAAGAGTGGCTTGTACTTGAAGCAAGAAGCAAGGAGCAACAGGGATGTATGCTGATGGTGATAGTTGCAAAATAATGAGTCTATAGAAGAATCTTTAAACATCATCAAGAATGAAAGAAGAGAGACATAAGGCATATAAGTTCCATACTCCACCACACAAAAAGGAATTTTTGCTTTAAATGATTAGTCATCAAGCTAATACTTTTGTTTTTCACTTATTCTTCTTTTCTTTTTTTATTATTATATGATAACCGTAGTATCCTGACCAGCTTGTGGATATCTCAACTAATTCCACGAAGCATCTGTTTGCTATTTTCCACTGGCACAGATACCGAGTAACTATATCCATATCAAAGCTTAGACATATAAGAAGAAATCACTTAGTGTTTTTGCCACTGACAGGATTTGAACCTAAGACTTTATGGTTCTCAGCTCACTTCATTGACCACTAAATCATACCCTTAAGTGCTTTTTTTCCTTATTCTTTAGCCAGGGAAATTCAAATGATAAAAACCTATATGTGATGTAGATTCTTGGGTATAGTGTAATCAACTTATCCCTTAAACCCCAAAAAGTGGGATGATGAAGAACCTTGGTTGCAAGCAAGGTTTTCGATAATGGGACCTCTAGAAAGTCATAAATTCTTACAAATTAATATCAATATGTTATCAAGAAAATGAGACTGTAGTAGTTCCTTTACGAGAAATGACTAAAGAGGATTACAATACAAAATTAATCGTGTCTTAAGTCCTTATATATAATTAGAAGCAATGAGGGGTACAGTAAAATATCTAGTAAACATTTAAGGAATTTTTAAAAGAATAAGAATATAGCACCTTGAAAGTGGATTTTTGTCATGGCTAAGAAATCTTAATAGAAGATTTCCAATGCGACATGTCAGAATCGTTAAATAAAGAAACAATTTCTTGAATGCAACAACATTAGGAAGAAATTGGTATAGTTGGAATAATGATAAAGTCTGACGCAAAAATAATGCGTAAAAAGTTTAAATACTGGTCAAATCCTAAACCATAAGAGTCTTACAAAAATTAAAAAACCAAGGAAAACAATCGCAAAAATTAAGAAGCAGACCAAATGTGGTCAAAATAGTGGAAATTATATTGGTCTAGATTTTGACCTCCGAACAAGTTACAAATTTAACAGAATCCAATATTTTGGAGTGGAATTAACTCCATAAAATAATTACAAATAGAGTTAAATAATTGCATTTTAAAACTGCAGCGTGTAAATTCTGAATTTGTCACTCTTAAAAGTCGTCTTCCAAAAATTTCACGTCACTCATGTTTACTCTTCAACTACAGATGATATGACAGAGCAATTGGGATATACAAAAAAAAGAATAACATCTGGTTCTATTTAATTGGTGTAAAAAAGGAACAAATTCCTAGGTCTTATTCTTCGTAATCCTGATAATTATTTTTGCTAAAAGATTTATCTTTTTTCCAGTAGACTAAGTAATACTAACATAGAATGGGCACAGAGAAAAGAGAAATGATTCTTGTTTGTGGGATATGGTATTGCTTACCTTTGAAAATGAGTCCAAAGTTATTAAGCTTACACGGAATATTAACTTAGACCCTTTGCTTTTCTTCTTCAAGATACTAAATTACAGTACCCAAAAGTATCACCATTTCTTTAAGCAACTTCTCTTCCAACTCAATCTTTGATGAGTTAGCATTTTGTATTTCCTTTGAAAAGAAAAAGAACAAACTCAAAACAAATTATTATCACCGAGGAGTGTGGTTGGATGGATGAATTTACTCCTAATCAGAGGTCTTGCGTTCGAACTTTGAAAATAAAAAGAAACTTCTGGTAGGGAATGAATGTTTTCTTCTTTAGTGAACCCTAAACGGTATAGAGTCTGATCAATGAATTTTGAATATCTAAGGATTATATCAAAGGAAAAGACCAAAAGATGATATATAGAATCTTGCCCTTATGGTCAAGACTACTAGATGTTGGAAAATTTTAGGCACAGGTTTGGAATTTTTGTTATCTTTGTTCAATTTTGTTATCCTTTTGTTCACTTTTTTTTTCCTTTGTTTCCTCTCTGCTCTTTTTAGTACAAAGAGACATCTGGAATATTTGAGTGTGAGTAATTTTGATAATTGTACTTGCAAGAATAAAAGCCAAATGCATCAAATTCCCCTTGTTCTGCTTTGTTGATGAGGCACCTGAACAGAGTGCTTCTCTTTTTGGTTTGTTCCCCTTCTCTTACAACCTATAGGACTTAGCTTTTCTACAGCCTAATTATCTTTGTTCGTTTAGTTAAATTCATGAGCATGTATCATGTTTGCCAAAAGCCAACTTTCTGGACTTGTCTGGAACTCTCAATTCTCCTAGTCTTTTGTACTCTCTTTGTCTGTCATACTTTCCTTTTTAGTCTGTTTCAAAGAAAATGCCATACTTCCTTATTTAGAAACAACTTAACTTTAAATATCTTACTTTACCCTTAACGAGAAGTATATATGACTTGTTTTAAACCACAAGTTTTCTGATTTTCTTTCTTAAACTTCGTATCTAGTCAAACATCGCCGCGTAAATTGGGACGGAGAGAGTTCTTAAGTATTCATGGATTTCATATAGGTTGGAGAGTTATCCAATATATTGGGCCTGCCTTTCCTTCTAGGAACCCTTGCTGAAGCAGCCCAAAGTTAGAAACAATGTTGTTATTTCACTCTGATGTTCGACGAAATGACTGAGACGAAGTAGTCGCTTGGTTTATGGATGCATGTTCGCAAAATTGACCTTTCTGAAGCTGGATATATAAATGAAGAGTAAATTGATGGCATGCGTGAGGATAGTCTAGTTAAATAATAAATTCATTGCAGCAGGTACACCTGTATAAAATGAGCCTCAATGGAGCTGAATGGATACATGATCATATAACCTGTGGGATACATCAAAGGAAAAAGGAGTAGATTGACCATTCTAATTTAGCTAATTTATCTGTATGGAAGTCACTGTTGACTTGGTATTCTAAGTTTATTTGTTACACATATATCTCTAAGACTCTAACTAACAAGTTATTCTACTGTTCAATATAACATAAATAGCTCCCCAACATTCTACTGTTCCTTCTATGTTGCGTGGATTCTTCATTTGTCATGACATACCAACATCTAACGGGTGTGATAAGAGTGTGGGTTCTTAAAGTGATTTTTTCAAGATACACTAAAAATTATAAAATATATGGAATACCTGTATATCAGATACTTCCATGCAACCATACATAGGCTAGGTGGAGCTACGGCGTGAAAACAGTGGAAAACTGATCATCTTGACAGAGAAGGAAGCAACCAAAGATTGGAAAGAGATGAGGCCGCGGAGAGAAACCATGACAAGAAGGCCAATGCAGCAGATATCTGATATCTACTGCATAATCCGGCAGGACAGAATGTTACATCTGCCCTGTGCAAAAGATCCACTATTCCAGCAATTGAGCTAGCTGCTGCAAGAGTGAGGAATGATAATGCCTGTAAAGTGTTTGTTTTTTTAGTCATAAGTAATTTAATGTGGAGTCTTTTTTACAGATTCAAGAGCAGGATATACCCAATCTCCTAAAACAATGAAGAGAAGAATTCCTGGCTGACGAATGGGGCAATGGATCAAGACAGAGTATATATCAATCATTGCCAAAGTAATGCTCCAGGGGATGACCAAACCCATGATCGTTACTAAGAAGCTGTAGAAGAACAGTAACCAACAGGTAGAGGATCAGAATATTGTAGAAGGAAATATGAGATTCGTTAGGATTTTGTATTTCCTCACTGACAAACAAGTGATATGGCTGCTCTGATGAATTTTATAGAAATCTTTTCTTTTTCATTTCAACCTATCACTGGTCATGCAATAAATGCTTTGTCAGCTGATGCAATTCTTTGATATTTATTATCCTTCAGACTCTACTCTTTCTTAGTGTGCGAGAGTCAAAAGACACACATGGAGACGATATGAACGGAGACAAATTTAGGATCAATATAGGATCTAAAGTCAATTGGTTCAGGATGAATGTAACTTTATTATATATACACATTTTAAACATTTTCGCATATAACTACATAGTTCGAGCTGAAAGCAATGTATCCAGTTGAATCACAAAACTGACCCTCTGCATATGCGGGAGATTGTTATGTGTGACAAAAGATTATGAAGAGACAAAGAGTGGTACGCAGGAATAGAAAATACCAATCTGAGCTTAATTAGGATTCAATATTTTCTCACTGAAAAACAAAGTATTAGCTGCTCTGATGAATTCTATTGTAATCTTTGTCATTTCAACCTATCACTGGTCATACAATAAATGCTTTGTCAGGCATATATGGAGACTATATGAACAGAGACGAATCCAAGATCTAAAAGTCAATTAGTTCAGAATGAATGTGATTTTATTATATGTATATATTCTAAATTTTGCAACATAGTTCGAGGTGAAAACAATGAGTTCAGTTGAATCACAAAACTGACCCAGAATCCGCCTCTGCATATTGGGAGGTTCTTCTATGTGACAAAAGATATGAAGAGATAAGAGTGGTACAAGGGAAGAGAAATTAAAGTGGTACAAGGGAAGAGAAATTACCAAAAGGCAGTATAGTTGTGAAACTCAACTCCTAACGACATGAACAAAAGAGAAGCGGCGGAGAAGATGGTCTGCCCTAATCTCAAAGCAAAGCTCGCGCTTGTCCCCACAGCTCCTGGTACTTCATCATCCATGGCCATTTGCTGTTAAAACTACAATATGATCTATGTTCACTGCAACCTCCAATTTCTGAAGATGATTACAAAGCAGACAATTGCAAATTCTTTCTCTATTGCCCAAGTTCATCATGATCTTCAGCTGTAATTCCGAATCTTTGCCTCCCCAAAATATTCATGGACAGCAGATATGAGAACTTCTGGCTACTTACTTAGATTATAAGCATGAAATTTCAAGAACTTTGGCAATGGATAATGGTTTTTTTGTCTTCTTCTTGTCGTAATGGTGTACTTATTTTCTTGTGGCAAAAAACAGGGCTATTTTGCAGTTGTTAAACTAGTTTTGAAGTAGGGAATTTGTGCATGATATTTCATAATGCTTTTCAACGTAGGATGTGAAGAAAGCCTGTACAAAGCATTTGACAAGTGGAATTGCATATTACCTCTCCTTTATATTCTTTTCGTCTATCTTTTTTTCTTTTTAGGTGTTTGAAGAGGCGGCCATAAATTATTTGGAATTGTTTAAGTCAGCGTTTAAGCAGGCAGCACCCACATGAACCGCACACAAGATTAGTGGCAAACACAAATGCGAATCAAGGATAGTGTTAGAAAATTTAAACAAAGGCAAACGCAAAGGAGACGAACTTGAACCCTTCGAATTTTAACATGGCACAAGACCCTTTCACGAGGGTTGGTGCAAAATATTCAAAGCAGTAGAACAAAAGGTACGAAAACCTAACTAAAAAGACACTTGGCTTTATAAAAGTATGATGAGGTCGTCAATTTGATCGAAATAGTGGGTTCATATTTTTCTTTATTAGTGGAGTATCTATTCCCTCTTTGGCTTTATATCCGTTTAGTGATTTAGTCTGATAACTTTTTAGAATTAACTCCGATACAGATTCTGATTTATAAAGATATTTTTCAGAACTAAATCGACAGTAATACTAGATGCTACAATTTTTTTATTTAAAATGCTGACATCATGTATTTAAAATCTCAATCAAATTTTCCACATGACTATTATAAATTCTATACAAACATTTGCATGTGCTGCAAACTCTAGGCTAGTTATCGTCTTCTGATCAAATGGTGTTAACCTAAAATTCCAACACATCGCCTGTCATTAAAAGAGGCATATATTTTTCCCATTTTGTTCCTCTCCATACAAAAAAATTGTGTGGAAATCTCTCCTATGAAAGAGAGTGCAGCATATTCACGCATTTAGGATATAAGCGAAGTTACTCTGAATGACATGCATTTGAACGATCAGGCACATTAGACTCTATAAACAAACAGTAACCAAAAAGATGATAAACATATCACTAAAACTGACAAGGGTAAACCGGTTCTACAAGCTTTTATCTCAAACAACTAAGTTACCATTATCCAATTACATGTCAACAAATTTCAGAATAGGGGAAATATGGTAATGAAAGGACCAGAAAGAAATAGGGCAACCGAAGAGGGGAGACGTTTATAGGTGCATACAAAATATTTGCTCCTCCTTCTGAACATTCATTCCTCGAGAGAAGCTGCGGAGGGAAAAGGCAAAAAGAATGAATTGGTGAGCTTACACAATAACAACACTTGATTTAAGCACACAGAATCTAAGAAGTACAGTATGTAATTCGATTAATCAACAAAGAAACAACTTAGTGTCAACTGTCAAGGGCGCCAAAGAATGTGCATAATGTAATTGTATCAGTAGAACATCGACCCTCTACGGAAGACTAATTCCGAAAACGACTACAGTCACTTTACAACATGAACCTTTAGCTAGTACTTAATCCAACAACAGTGCACAGGGATTGATGCTTAATTGCAGTCCAGCATGAACCTTTAGCTTATACTTGAAATTCTATAATACTACGTAGGAATCAGATTTAAGAGTGTCGATTTGTGTGAAATAATTTCATCAAAAAGATTAAACTACTAAGGAATTAGACAATTTTCCTTAAAGACTGGGAGGGTGTTTGGATTGGCTTATTTTAAGTGCTTATTGGCTTTTAAGCACTTTTTTAGTTTGTGTAGTGTTTGGCAATACTAAAAAGTGCTTAAAATCACTTACTTTTAGGGATAAAAAGTACAAAACTAAGCCAAAAGCCAAAAGTTGGGTATTACCAACTTATGGCTTTTGGCTTTTAGCTTAAAAGCTACTTTTCATAAGCCAATCCAAACACCCTCTGGATCAACTTCTAGCCCATTAAAATCTTTTCTGACGATGGGTGGCTGCAACGCTCAAAGTTAAAACCTTTGCTGGCTCTAATACCATATGAATTGTGTAAGCCAACTCATCTCAATTTGATTATTTCAAGAGATGTCCCTTGCCTGGTTGCAAAAGGACACTTGTTCCACGAACTGTAAGAATACTCATTCTTCAGCTGCTAACTAAAAAAAAGGGCCAAACCAACTGCGTTCAGATTGTAATAACGGTACCCAAAAAAATGATTTTCTTGCACCAAATAAAGACTTATGTAACAAACCGTAACACTGACAGTAGCTTTGTAATAAGTTATGTGTGTGTGTGTATATTCCCATATTTTTGGTGCATGAATTTATTAATTGATGTTTGTTTAGGGCACATGATATGATTAAAAGGCTGCATAACCAAGCAAAACGGGCATTTAAATAAAGTGAATATAAGAGCCAAGGATTGAAGTATCGGAGTGCGCCACGAGCTAAGCCTAGCGCCCAAGCGGCACCAATTATAGTCACAATAGGAGAAAAAGAGGTGCCTACGTCTACCCTTTCCATGTGGGAGTCCTTGTAAGTCTAGGTCTCTTTCTCCTCCTCTGATAAATATTTATAATATTCCACGAACATGGTAGAGACAATTTTGGGAGCATTCTTGGAGAAGTAGGCACCTGTGACTGATTTCCTTTATCTAGACTCTAGAGTTATGGGAACCTGAGCATGATATGGTCCATATTATGTTTGAATGAATTGATTTTTGTGAACCAAGGTTTATTTGTTTATTTTAATTCTTACGTATTCGATAGCACAACTAACGATTGAATACTATCTATAAACCCTAGACTGAACTTGGAAAAGGTAATCTATGGTTGATTCACCTGGGCGTCGGAGAACTAATTCGTGGATAGAAAAGGAATATATCTATTCGCTTTGCATAACCTTAACAGGTACTTTGCAATTCATTCTTATTAACCTTAATACCATAAGTGTATAGATAGTAGGTTAATTTGGATAAACGAATAAGAAATTGGAGAATTCTTATGAACAATAGATGGCCGTGGTTACTAGCCCTAGTGAAATTAATTTAGTCAAATCGTAAGAGGGTCATAAGAGGACTGTGAAGGAGAACCATAGCTCAACTCAGCTCATAACATCAATTCCACTGATGAAAACAAACTGAGCAAAAATACATATGCAGATGCTATCAATAAATTAATTAATTAACTATGCCTCAACTTCCAAACAAGATGAGACGATTATATGAATACCCCGTACACATTCAACAAAGTGGAACATTCATCATAATTTCACTATTTTCATCTTATCACATCCTTTATCCGGTTCTTGGAACAATCTAAGCTTCGCTCGCATACATTTAGATAATAATAGTATATAATTAATCCAAGTCAATTCCCATTATCAGGAGAAAATTTATAAGCATAAATTCAACTAATAACAACAATTAAGTTGAAAATCGTATAATCATAAGGATAAATTTACCTGAGAGGAAAGAGGAGCAAATAGAATAAGGAACCTAGAGTTCGAGCATAAGTTCTTCTTTCGAATCGGAGAAATAGTGGAGAATGTATGGGGCGACCCGAATCACGGCGACCCAAGTACCAAACAAGGCCACGTGTGTCTTGAGCTGCTTCAAAGCAGCTGCTTTGTCAGGTTTACGCATGAACAATCCTGGAAACATTGTTGCTTCTTTTGCTGCTCTGAGATTTGAGATTGAACGAGCCAAAAACCCTAGGTTCCGACTGAAAAGTGGGTAACGGTGAGGTTTTAGACTTGTGTATTTAGTGATGATCGCACAGGGCTACAGGCCCAATTTTGATTGTAAAAGGGGGAATGTTTGGGCCGGGTCTTATGTGACTTTATTAGTCGACCCGTTAGGTTTGTAATGAATTTTATTCTTGCAAATTGCAATACCATCACCGTGTTTAAAAGCGAAACTGAAATGTTCAATTTAAAATATGTATATTATACCTTGGTATACAAAAAATATATATTTTGCCAATTACTTGAAACGACTATACAATATAGCTTTTTCCTAATTAAAAGGAATCTATGGCGATTTTACCAAATGGAATAGTCGTTAGTAGGATACCTAGATGGCAAATTCTTTTAGATGTGGTTTTCCTTGTTTGTGCTTACCTGAGCTTAGGATCTATCGGAAATAATCTCTCTACCTACACAAGGTAGAAGTAAGGTCTGCATACACATTACCTCCTTTAGATATTCACTTGCGGAAACACATTGGGTATGTTATTGTTGCTGTTGTGATTTTTCTTGTTTGTGGTTGTCAGTCTCTACTTGATAAGTGATGGTGGTGGTGTCTTGTTAATTAAATTAAAACACTTCTAACTGATAGAATATTATGAACTCTGTATATGACGATGGAAGTTAGAGATTAATGATAGCATAACTGATAAAGAGAGAGTTTCTCAAGTGGTGAGCACCTTTTACCTCCAAACCTGAGGTTGAGGGGTTGGATGTGAGGTTAAAAAAAAAAGAATGATAGCATGAGCAATGAGATGTTTATGTTGTTGGCATGCAAAGTTGATGGTAGAAATCAAATACTAATAGAGATGCAAATCGTGCTTTCAAGACATAGTAGCAACTGGTCATTCGACCTACCTTCGTTCTTAATTTCGGACTTGATTTGGAATTGAGCTACTTCATCCTTTTACTAACAAGAGACATTAAAATATGAGATTGTCTACGGCATTTGAATACTTTCAAAGTATAAAGGAGTGGCTTAGAAATTTAAAAAACTGCGCCTTTGGTATTTTATAAACTCTTAAGAAGGTAAACGTATGATAGTTACTCTATTGACCATAAAATAAGTTTCAAAAAAATTAGTTTCTTTTTTATTCTTCAACTTGGAGACCATCCCTATCGAAGGGACTTGAATTTCAAAGATTCAAATCGTAATTGGACATATTGCAACTTACAAGTACAAGCCTTTTTCTTTTTCTATACAAGATGGAGGATTAGTATTGGATAACAATAATAAACTTACTAATCAAAAGTTTGGCAATACATAATTTCTAAACTTAACATCGTACGAGAAGGTCATGAAAGGGGGAGATGGAATTTTAGGGGCTTTTGCATTTATATCCGGTTTTGAGGTCACAATTGAACCTATACCCACTTGGCAAAAAAGTTTGCAAGCTTACCCATTTTACGATCAACTTCAGACTTATGGGTCTGAAGTTATAAGAAAAATGCCTGAAGTGAAATTGCACTTCAAATGCACTTAAGGCAAATAGGTCTGAAGTGAAACCAATGGTTTCATGCACTTAAGGCTAATCAGTCTGAAGTGAAAAATTGCATTTCAGATGCACTTAAGGCCAATAAGTTTGAAGTGAAAAATTGCACTTCAGAGCCAAAAAGTCTAAAGTGCAACAAAACGTTTTCATTCACTTAAGGCCAATAAGTCCGAAGTGAAAATTTGCACTTCAGATGCACTTAAGGCCAAAAAGTCTGAAGTGCAACAAACGTTTTCATTCACTTAAGGCCAATAAGTCGTAAGTGAAAATTGCCCAGAAACGAAAATTTGTTCTTCGAATTATAACAACTCAATATACGATTTAATACCTAAATCTACTCCAAATGAGCTCAAATTTGAAACATAGCCTCCAAATATCATCCGGAACAAACCCCAATTATCAATTTGTCAAAACAACAATAAATCTAATGAACCCATTTTGCAGTTAAGAAGAAAAAAAGAAGAAACCCTAAGCAATAGTAAAAAATAAAACGTCAAAACAGCTCACCATTGTAAAATATCATAAACTACATTAAAATATATTCACAACTACCGTATAAAATCATTGTCACCCGAAGAAGAAGAAGGAGGAGGAGGAGGAGGAGGAGGAGGAGGAGGAGAAGAAGAAAATGAAGGAGGAGGAAGAGGAAGATGCTTGAAGTTATTTAAAAAGTGGTTAAAACTTTTTTAAAAAGTAAGTATAGGTTAAATGGGAGCAACCAAATAAGGCGCCCCGTGCAATTTTTACGAAATTTTAATTGATAAACCAGTTTCTGAGGATCGTTTATTTGCTTGCCTTGGTTTTCCATCTTTGTATTAATTTGCCAATCCTAGGTAATATCCAATTTCTATGAATCAAATATTTGTCTAATGGACTGTGTTTTTCAAGGCTAAAGAAGCATAGCTTTTTAGGAGTTCCATCCTAAAAACTGGGAATTAGTCAAATGCTCTCAAGCCAATTTAGCTCTGACGTCATCACAAATCCCAAACTTCCATGCATATCATTTACAATGTTGTAGAAAGTTAGTAGGTAATCGGTCCTTCCCTTACTATATGATCAATAGTAATCTCATATTTTCATATAGCTAGACATGTGTTGTTATCAGTTGTTTTCTTGCCTCAATTTTCTTGTTATTGTTGGTAATTTATCATTTTACTTTTTTCTTTCCATGGTTTGTACACTATTATTTTTTTTTTCACAGGTAATGTGACTATACTTCTCCTGAACCGAGAGTGTATCAAAAATAATATCTCTACTTTCACAAGCTAGGGGTAAGACTCTATACACACTAGTCTTCCAAACTTCACTTGTAGAATTATATTGGGTTTGTTATTTTTGTTTTATTTTCACTTTTCTTCATTTCCACGTCACAATATAAATCGCACAACTCCATTGCTAATATTTTTTTCAAATTTATATTACTATAATGAAGTTAATTGACTAATCAATTTTGACTTAGATGTTTCTACCAAACAAACTTAGGAATACTAATTTATCGAATCTTAATCGCGTGATCGTATCTTATATCACGACCTTAAAAGTTGATACTGCAGTCTTCGAGTCTGCTCTGTGATTGTGATGCTGCTGCTCACTTCAAAAACTCTTATTTTCTACATTCAGTTCATTGACGGCCAACAGCCAATAAGATGCCACCACATCAGCAATAGAAACGAGAAAGTCAAGTACACTCCAGTGGGACAAGCCCCGCGCATTAAATTCAGTAATGGTGACGAGTCCTTCCTACACAAACTTCGTCGACAAATTGTAAGTTTGCAACAGTGACGTGAAAACACCACAAATCACTCACACTCTCTTTCTCAAAACCCACAACACAAAAAACGCACTAACATTTACTTGCATATTACACACACATTCCCTCCATTAACCAAACCCCCTCAATAAAGGAGCACAGAAAATAAAAGCACCAATCCCACTTCCGTTAATTGCCCTGCAGCTCATCATGCTCCACCATAAAGCTCCTGCTCCGTCACCTATACTATCACCGGCGCCGGCGGCGGTTCACCATAACGATACTCAAAAAGCTCCATCACCTTCAACGCGGCCACTTCATCATTCGTCGACATTGCCAACTTCGTCAACGTCAGCATCGACGTCAGACTTATCAACTACTCCACCGCCGTCTAAGTTACCGGTTGATTTCAGCCCACCTTTGATTGCCATGGTCGTTATTATCGCTACTGCTTTCGTCATCATTACCTACTCGCGACTCTTCTCGCGCCATCTGCTCCGTCTACACGGCCGTTATAGACTGTGGCGTCGTCGTCGCCGACGTTACGTTCCTTCATCTGCCGGCGATATCGAGTCGCCTCCTTATCCGTTCGATCCTACTGATGCTTTCCACGTGCTTTCTCCGTATGGACTGGACGATTCAGTTATCAAAACAATTCCTCTTTCAGTCCACACTCGAAAAAGCAGCGTTCACGATTGTGCGGTGTGCTTACTGGAATTTGAAGAGGACGACTACGTACGCACGCTTCCAGTATGTTCACACGCGTTTCACGTGGACTGTATTGATATATGGCTCAAATCACACGCGAATTGCCCGTTATGTCGCGCCGGAATATTCCGTCCAGAGTCACCGTTCACTCCGTTAATGGCTGCAAGGATACGCCCGAGCTTCGATGACATGCTGGTAGAGAACACAATTCTAGAGCCTTTAGCTGAATTTCAGCCAGAATCGGATACAACGACAGTGTCAGAGATCACACAGGAGCCGTCGCCACGGAGAAACATGATCCAATCAGAGGATATTAGATTCAACGGACGTGATATATTGCTAAAACGATCCTATTCCTTTGGATTCGAGAGGAATTTAGGATCCGAGAGACTAGTACTTGAAGCAACAACAGCTTCGCCATGGCGGTACCGCAGAGCAATAGGATCAGGAAGCTTCTGGAGCAAAAGACCTTCACCGTTCAGCTCGTTAACGAAACCACGAGTATTCTCGTTCCGATATTACAGAGGAATGAAATCGCCGTTCTTTCGCCGGACCAGAGGCGGATTCTTTCCATTATCGGAGTCAAGCGCGAGATATAGTACCGGCGGAGGCGGAGGTTCGTCGAGAAGAAGCAAATCATTCGCGAGTCCAATGTTTATGAGAACATCGGCGGCGGGAGGAGGAGTATTCTCGTCGAGCCGGCTAAGGAGCGGTGATCCAGAAGCCTTACTGTCACCGGACAGGTATAACAGACGGTGAAGATGAAATCAGATCACATGGAGAGGAATTAATGAACTTTAGGAAAACGACAACCGTCCGATCGATCGTAGTTATGGGGGGACGGTGATCGAGGTCGCGGGGGGTGGGGGGATGGGGTCAGGCGACATTAATTTACATTGGGAAGAAGGAGGGGAAATTAATGCGGTGCCTGCTACTATGTTCATTGGGCCTGGGGAGATCATTTAATACAGAGAGAGAGGGGGGGCGAGTAACTGTGTTGAAATGCTGAGAAGAAGAAAAAGTTATGTCTGCATTTAATGGGAAAATTAGACTATTTTTGAAGAGTTACAGAGAGATGGTGATAGACAAGGGTTAGGAGCTTATCCAAAAAAAGGGTTAAACTTTTTGGAGTGTATGGATGATTAAGTTTGTGACTGTATGAGCTCCTCCCACTTGTCTACGTCTTTTATTATGGTTTAAATGTATGTTGATTCGCTGTCGAATTCAAAGATTTAGTACCTTAGGGGTAGTTTGGTTGGAAATAGGTTATCGAAGAATAATTATTTCGGGATTAGTTATTTTACCTTTCCAAAAATATAAAAAATTCACTACAATCCCGGAATAAGTAATCCTCGTATAAATTCATCTTAAATTTAATTCCGAAATTAATTATCTCTTATCCCTCATACCAGATGAGCCCTTATTTGTTATTGATACAAGTTGAATTTAGTAAGAGATTCTTGTACTTGTTTGTGTGTGTTTTTGTTTACATGTGACGTTGGGCTGAATGCGCAAGAAATTTATTACTGTAGGATTTTTATAAATAGATATTGTTGATACTATAGCGTTTATTATTCCTAAGTCTATCAATCTTAAAGTTGAACCTTCGTATATCAAATCAAAACCAATAATGGTTCATTTAGCATACTTGGTTATCATTAAGACATGCCGGTTTCTGTAAGTCCACAAGTTCATTGACACAAGTGAATCCCATTTTTTTAAGCCAATGGATGTAAAGTATAATTACATTCTTTAAATCTCTATGGTAATGAGTACACATTTATTATATTTATGTATCTTTCAACTATGTATATACGGTTAGAACTAAAAATTGCATTATTTTTTAAGAGTGCTGCTATACGGCCAAATTCAGTGTGGCCCAACAACGACCACACTCGTAAAATACCAGTAAAATCCTTCATTTCATATTTGGCTTAGTGATCATTTTTCCCTCCAAAATATTTTCCTCCAAAATTAGTTAATAAATTTTGATTATCCCAAAACATTGATCCCATAAATCATCATTTCCTCATGCATGAGAAGATAAAAAGCCTTCGTATATACGGATGGCAGCCTCCGTATATTCTCTCATTATGTTTTTAAAAAAAAAAATACAATTACGTATTTTTTTAAATGCAATTTATACGGATAGGAAGATCAAAAGTCTATTATGTATACATAATATTATTTTTCCATTTATATTGTAACCCGAATAACAGCCTAGAAACTAGTTTGATCAAAAGAGAGCTTTCACTAAACATATAATTCACCACCCTTCTCTTAACCTAAACATGAATTCTAACCGAGAAACTAGTTTGGAGCCATTAAACCCGAATAACAGCCTAAAAACAACCCCACTAGATATCATTCTTCATCACAAAATTTTTTCAGCCGTCTTTGAGCCATCTACGCTCACCAACGTTCATTTCCATAAATCACTCTTTGCCACCATATTGAAGAACTGCGGTGGTATGTGCTTCAGGAATGTGCTCGTAGAAGCATTTTGGAATATGCTGGCAAAATAACACAAGGACAAAGAAATAACTTCATTTTATAACAGTATTTACAATACTAACTGAATGAAATGTAAACTTAGCCATATAAAAACAAAAGCCAGATTGTTGATTAGCTGATTTTTTCAAAAAATAAAATATCATTTACCAGATAGTCTTGTTTGATGTATGAATCTTTCAGAAGCACTTCAAATGTTGGATTTCGCTCTCAATCGTTATCATTAGAATAGGAGACGGATGGGGTTGAGTTAGTTGAAATTGCACAAATCCTTGTTGTCTTCAAAGTCGAAGTGAAAGGACAAGGAACTCACGAACATCCTGTCGAGATTAATTAGTTTTTTTTTTAAGAACTCGTGAAGATTTTGAAATGTTTCCACTATTGAACTCTTTAATTTCATCCAGTTATGCAATATGTATTTTTATTTTCTGTTGATGTATTAATGTTATGAAATTCAATCTTCATATTGGTCTTATTTACTATAAATTTTTTTTAATTATCATTCAAAAAAACTGAATTGAATCATGCATATTGGTCTTCTTTGCTTTTTTCATTTCTTCCGAATGAAATCAATTTCAAAGATTATTTTTAATTTTTTTTTTAAAATCAATTCTTATGTAGGATTCTTTTGGAATGGAGAAGACAAAATAACACATTTATTTCATCTAACATTATTTATTTCAACTAACACCATTTATTTCTACCAACACCATTAATTTGTCAAATTTTTGCCAAAATTGAACCAAAAAAGCCGCTCAAATTTGAAATATTTTTTGGACTGGGTTGGCCCCCAATATATAGTCACATACTCAAACCCTAAACTTTGAAAAACACACTCACCTACAAACCCTAAATTACGGATGCCTCTCCCTCTATCAAACGAGTCCTATCTTACTCTTCTATAGCAGTGATAATGAAGAAGAGAGTCCTCCAACATTTGAAGTGGTTATGACTGATTCATACATCAACTACGACGATCTGATAAACTATTATGTCTTTCAAACTTTATTTCTTTGAATATATAGCTTCTTGAGTTAATCCTAACTGATTTTTTTTTTTACATAAAATACTTTTGTTTCTTATACCTTAACTCCAGAAAATATATATGCGTCAGTATAGTATATGTTGATTCTGTTTCATATTTTCCGAAACTTAATAGTAATATTTTTTTTAAAGTATATTCCAAGAAAAATCTACAAGCATCTCCCTCCAACAGTAGACACCGCGCTTCTTCACTATCGTGGCAAAGAGTGGTATGTAGATATGAGCGTTGGTGATAGAAGAAGGTTCAAGGCAGTCTGGAAACTTTTTGTTTTCGAGAATTATGTCAAGCGAGGTTTCATCGTCAAATTTACGTTGGTTGATGTTGCACCACTATATGTTGACTTCAATGTTGAATTGAAGGGAGAAGGAACTTTTGATAATAATCCGGTTGAAATTGATTAAGATTTGTATTGTGTTTTTCTATCCCTTTACTATATTTTATTTTTATATATGTTGATGTGTTAATGTTATAAAATTACAATCGTCATATTGGTCTTCTTTACCATAATATTGATTTTTACAAAGAACATACAAGATTATCGGGGTTTTGCATTGTCAAAAGAACATCAAACAAAAAAGGTGGTGATATTGTTAGGTATGCGCAATATGGTTGTGATAGGTCTAGGAAACCAAGGAATAAGCATGTTACCAAGAGGAGGAACTGTCGTGCTAGAATAAATGGAATTTCGGAGGAGAATGGTTCATGGCGTGTTTCAAAGGTGGTTAAAAAACATAATCATCAATTGGAGCCAGCACTATCGCGATTGATGGCTGGACACAGATCGCTTAGTAAGTCCCTTAAGAGAACTCTTGCAGCCAAATATATTGCTGGCTTAAGACCCTCAAAAAATATAAGAGTCGCTGAAGTACTTGCTGGTGGCCCCAAAAATCTGGGTTGTACACCAAAGGACTGTAGAAATTATATTTTGAAGAGTAGAAAGCTTCAGTTGCAAGAAGGGGATGCACAATCATTACTCAAGTTCTTCAGTGACATGCAGCAAAAAGATAGGGAATTTTACTACTCCGTAGATGTGGATAGTTTTGGTTGACTTCATAATATCGTATGGGTTCATTCACACTCTAAGGTTGCATATGAGGAGTTCCATGATGTAATATGTCTTGATACCACATACCTTGTGAATTGATATAATATGCCATTTGCTTCATTTGTTGGTGTCAATCAGCATAGGCAGTCCATACTTTTGGGATGTGTTCTTATGTCTAGTGAGGATATAACAAGTTACAAAATGGTGCTATCTACATGTCTTGGGGCTCTAAACAATGTTCATCCATTAGCTATCATGACTGACCAATGTGATAGTATTAAGGCTGCCATCAATGCATTGATGCCAAATATGGTACATAGATATTGTATATGGCACATATTCGCAAAGTTGCCTACGAAGTTAAGCGGAGTAGTTGATGCTAAGATTGCAATGGCATAATTTAAAGCTTTAGTCCTTGATAGAATTAACGTTGCTGAGTTTGAGAGACGATGGACTGAAAATATTGAAAAATATAACTTAGATGGAAGGGATTGGTTTTATAAGCTTTATTTAGAGAAGGATAAATGGGTTCATGTATATCTAAATGACCACTTTTGGGCTGGGATGTTGTCCACACAAAGAAGTGAAGGAATGCATGCTTTCTTTGACGGATTCATCACCCGCCAAAGTACATTGAAGCTATTTGTTCAGCAATATGAGTTAGCCGTAAGAGCTAAGTTCGAGAAAGAATTGAAAGCTGAATATAGGTCAAGGTGCTTTGAACCAAAACGTTTATCAGAATTTGCATGGGAGGAAATGTTTCAAACATGTATTACTCGTGAAGTGTTTGAATTTTTTCAAGTATAGTTAAGGAAATTGTACCGTTGTGAAATCAGCACCCCTGAAGACCATCAAGCAATAGCTGGAGTGGAGAAGTACATTATCGTTGATTATTCGTTCAGGAGCTTTAACACTAGAGATCCATTTGTATTCACGGTTGAATATACATCTATTGGCGAATATCTAAGTTGCAGCTGCAAGTGGTTTGAAACAAGAGGTGTTCTAGGCTTCCATATACTTAAGGTGTTGTCTCATAAGAGGATTAAAAACGTTAATGAGAGGGATATACTGAAAAGGTGGAGAAAAGATGTTGTTCGCCCGCACTTGAAATATTTCTTTTTAGGAGGTTACCCATGTATGAGTTCTGAATACATGATGTATAGGGAACTCTTAAATCATTTTGAACGGGTTTGTGATATTGCCTTGGACACTGAAGTGATGAGGCGATATATTAAGTATAATTTGAACAGATTGCAGCATGACCTTTTGTATTGGGATGATGATCGTATAATAGTTCCAAATTGGGAATTGGAAGATACACATGATGGTGTGGGTGAGGGTGAGGGTGTGGGTGAGGGTGAGGGTAAAGGAAAAAATATAAGAGATCCTAGATACGTAGCTTCTCGTGGACGTCCAAGGTTGAATAGATATAGAGGGCGAATTGGTTCATACTTTAGAAGTTCACAAACTGGTGGTGGAAGTGGAGTTAGAGGTAATAGGAGGGGTAGACGTGGTGTAGAGGTGTTGGCAGAGGTGGTGGTAGAAATGGTGGTAGAGGTGGTGGTAGAGGCTGTGGTAGAGGTGGTGGCAGAGGTGGTGGAAATACTGGGCTAGCGGAAGGAATTGAGGTAAAGTATAACAAATTATTATTATATTTTTTTTCAAAAAATACATTTCTTATTAGTGTTATTTACTCTATACAGCAAGATGATGCAACAGTACCACCACAGAGTAGCTTACCTGATCTAAACGATGAAGGAAACTGGGAAATAGAAGACTTGACCGTTTAGTTTGAGACGATTTAAGTTTGAATCTTATTTAATTTGATTTGAGATAGATTTTTTTTGAATTTTTTGACTTTGTT